TATGTATATATGTAAGTAAAACCATACTTACAGAGGAAATGTCGACTGAGCGGTTGTTTAAAAAAATGAGTATATATTTTGTTGCGACTTCCAACTTTGGTGCGAAACAATCTTAAAACACATTTAGTATTTTTGTATCACTCAAATATCAGTCACAGTTTACGAATAACAACTGACCTCTTGTCCTATCATCAATAGGTCACTGTTTCGCACAGTTCAAGTTTACCATAACAAGTTCATATATGATCTTTGATATGTATCCATTATCGTATATTGTCGTGTGAGGAAATACGTGTAATAGTGCATGAAGTATAGTAGAATCTCACGTGCTAAACATGAAATGACAATGGATGAAAAATCACCTGCAAATATCTTGCATTATCACGGAATTTCTAATTCTACTCAAGTTTCTTCAGTCCTTTCAATGCGAAAATAATTCATGAAACATTCCACCCATTTCCCTTGATAAGTTCGAAAAGTAAAATTCGCGCACGCCGGTATCACTTTGATAACTGTTGGATTAAATATGATATTATGTATTGCTCACCATGTATGTATATTGCCATGGAAAGTATGTATATTTTCTGCAGTGACCAAGTCCCAACGATTTGGGTTGGAACCTGCTTTTGCCTATTTTTTGTACAGTCACACTCATGTAGGTGTTTTAACTGTACATTGAAAAAATATACTTAATTATCCGATGATGATTTAAAGTATACGATGAATCAACAACGAACCAACTTATGAAAATAGTTTTCATGAATATTTTTTCATCAACCGTATAGGTTTTTTTCCCTTTAAACTCGCACTTGGCTACTATATTTCACTCAATAAATGCAGGTTGTAATCCAATAAAGATATTCAAAAGTCGCGTCGGTTAAAATTTCTTTATTTTGTCGTTTTTCAGTTAAAATTTACTGTATTTTTTTGTCGGAATCATTTAGATATGTAAGCCCAATAAAAAACACCAAGGTTTGGAAACCACCTGGGCGCAAGCTATACAATACTAACAAAGGAATTGTAATATGTTTCTTAGCTTCACTTGCCTGTAGAAAAATGTTCTTCAAGTTTATGTGTGTGATGCTTGCAGTAAAACCTTTATGTAACAAAAAAAACGAATCGAAATAAAAAGCTAAAACGAGTTTACTTCACTCTATAAGCCTGTTCATACCAGTTTGCTATTCAATTTTTCACTGGCACGTGAGGTAGCTAATTTTTGCCAGCTATCTCCACCCCCACAACCCCCACCACCCCCACCACCCTCTGATGAAACATTTTATGCACTATAGTGAATGGAATTTCAGATATCAAACAAAGCTTATGAAAGATGAAATTAGTATCTTCAATTTGAAATAATTCACATAAGAAAACCTACGCTTTCTTAAATGCATGCTTTTGCCCACACCGTAGAAGTTGGGAAGAGAATTTGATTTGAAATCAAATTCATTTAGTGCTTGTCAACAACATATTTCTTCTTAAGTAATTAAACTTCTGATGTAGGCAAAGGATTAGATAAAGCAAATTGCTAGCACGCAATGAAAGATATTTTTACTTGTCTTATGGAACACCAATTTGAATGAAAACAGCAACAAAAACCGCAAAATTTCTTTGTTATTCAATCCACCATTAATATTAATGTTTGGCAATCCTACAGTACTCCTACATTAAAATAACTCATGTTTTTTTGTCTGTTTACTTTTGTGGCAAGCTTTTTGATTTTTATTTATGACCAGTAAACAAGTCTTACCCAGGAAGCATACTGATCATAAAATAAAATGTTGTAGCAGTTACTATAGTGCTTTGACTTTTTATTGAAGTTTGACGTCACAAGATGTACTTGACCGTGAGATCTGGCACAGTTGTTAACCTTGTAGCTACAGCCAAGGTCAAGAAATGTTAACATTTCAAATCGTTTTCTCAAAATTGCGTACACAATTAAGGATATTAGAATCAAAGCAGTCTCAAGTTCAATCAATATCATATGCATGATAAGCATTGTTTATCTATCGTAATGCCAAAGTCTTTCGTCTGTAGCTATTGTCGTACTTCGAATGTAGGGCACTCGTATGCATGTAAATAATTGACAAATATCTCCAAGGTCTGGCAATTTCCGATACTTTCTTCCGATGAGTTTAACGCAAAGAGCAAATTTAGCCATTTTTGTACATTTTCATGTCACATTTTTACCATTTATTTTTTTGAAGTATGAAATTATTGTACGATTTCATAAAATCAACACATAATCTGTACAGTTAGTTGGATTTCATAAAGTGTTCCTAAGACAAAACCTGCGTGAAAAGAATCCCTAGTACTCACTCTAAAAATTGGAACCCCATTTTTCATTTTAAGTGTACAATAAGTTCCAAACGAATTGTTTGTCTCTTTGGCAAATTTCTTTCGATTTTTGACCACATGCAGGCTTCCATTTTTCTATATTCACAACGCAAAAAAATTACACAGCCACTAGCTAAATATACGTACGATTAACTAGCTATATTAACACTTTGAGATAACCAAATCCCTCTTTCTGTGTATAAAACGCCATTCAACAAAGAAAATATTGAATCTGAGACAACAGTCGTTGTATAAATTATCATATGTTAATTTCAGTGATGATTGTAGTTTCTTTCTAATGCGATAACTACCAAGACAGCCGCTAAAGAGGCTCACTGACTTTGTCGGAATCAGTGACAGAGCTCTATTAAAATACATGATTGTTCTATGTTCAAATTATGCTTATGAAGTCTTGAATTGTAAAAGATTAAGAAATGCAATTTTCAGGTACAAAAAATATGGCGGCAAGGAAAACAATCAAAACATGGCTGTTCATTTTACATTAGAAAACTCGAAATTCACTTAAAGTAGAGAAATACAATCAAAAGATGGCTAATAATTTCCTTTGTTAAACATAATAACACAAAACAAAACAAACCCTTCGCTCGAGTCATTAGCTAAATGATCATGTACCGCGATTACTGAGATATCGTAATCCACCCGCTGCTTACAGGATTCCGGAACGCGGCAGAGATAGTAAAAATCCGCCCGCTGCTACATCCAATCATTTTGCAGGAAAGGCTACGATTCTGCTCGCTGCTGATTTGTAAAAAACTAAAAAATCAGATTTAATATCAAAGAAAATAGTGTAGAAATATTTGGAAAGAAGAGGTCCATTTTTGGGTCAGTACTTGAGAAAACAAACAAAACATATTTTCATACAGTTACTTTTCGAATTTTTTTTGCAAAATCATAATTAGCCTATTGATATTATTAAGAATGTTAGAAACATTTTTTTCACATGATGAGTTTGCAATAAATTTGAGCATTGAAAATAGGACTGGGGGGGCTGATGGCATGCCCCGCAATAAATAAAGAACGAGGGGCGCCTGCCACCAACAAATTTTCCACAGATATCACTATCATAATTACTTTGGAAGTTTCAAGTTAATTCTTGCTATATTACGTAGCGATGTTACTTTGATTGAAACAGTTTGGCATAATATTACATTTGCAAAAGTATATACCACAGACTTTTTTATTATATTTACGATGTATAATTATTGTCCTCTATCACCTGTGATACAGTGTTGTGCCCCTAAATAATTACGTCTTCCTGACACCATTTAATTCGAAATATAACTATATGCAAAACTGCTTTGTTTGTTTTCTCAAATATCGATTTCAACATTGACCTTTTCTTATGAGTATGTTTCCTAATGTACTTCATCGAACATTCGTCATTCGTATCTTGATGTGATTTCCATATATGTATATATGTAAGTAAACCCATACTTACAGAGGAAATGTTGATTGGGTGCATGGTTGTTTAAAAATTAGTAGAATATTGTTCATGTATAGAACAAGCTAGACTTCCACATTTGGTGCGAAACAACCTTGAAACACATTTTTACTTCCATGTCAATCAAATATCAGTCACAAGTTACGAATAACGTAACGAAAACGACTGTCCTCTTGGTTTCATCATCAAGAGGTCACTGCTTCGCAAAGTTCAAGTTCGTCATAAAAGTTCATCTTTGATATGTACCATTATCGTATATTATCGTGTAACGAATGCGTGTAATAGTGAAGTATGGCAGAACATCGCGTACTATGAGGTTTAAACCAAGTAATAAGTGGTACGTTTAAACATGAATAGGCAAAGGATGAAAAATCACCGTCAATTATCTTTTGCCTTTTTCTTTGAAATTATATCAAATGTAGTTGCTTTAACATGAAGTATCGAAAAATTTTGCCCAACTAAAGGTTATGGTTTAAAGTATGGTAGGAATAAATAATGAACCAACTTACACAATTATTTCTTATGAAAAACTTTTCATCAACCATATTTAGGTGTATTTATTCCAATTGCCAATAAAACCTGCACTTTACAACTATACCACATTCGAGTGGGTTGGGCGGAATAAGAACGTAGTCGTTTAAGAACTTCCGCGTTGGCAGAAGTTGACGAAAGCAAGTACTTGATATTTATTACATTTAGTAAAAGATTTACATCAATATTAAATACTGCATTCTGATTCCATTCTTCGGAAGCAGAAATTTTTTTACGAAAAATATAATTACGCGACACTCTAGTTGTTTTTTATGTTGTTAATTAATTATTTTGTCAATACATTTTCGTTTAGTTTGCTGTGGATTACTTCAAGTAAGCGTCGATAAAGTACCAAGCAGCAGATTGCACAGTGACAAGAATATTTCAGAAAGTTAAATGACACAATTCTTTGAACAAATCCATCAAAATCGTGCATGTTTGTCTCGGAATGTTATAATTATTTCATGCGTTTTAAATTCAATTCAGTAAATGCGGGGATGGTCCATTTATGACATAATATCCGTCAATGAAATATTTTTATTATGTCATTGTGAGAAACCTTTGACGTCTAAATTATGGGTAGTTAATATAAATTTATGCGATGTTACGCAATGTCGAGGGCTCCGCATGATTTATTATGCAAATTAAGGATTTTAAGAGGTCAAAAGCACAAAGGGACAACAGTACGATCAAAAAAACTTCAACGAAGGCATTACATATATATTGTTTATAATCACAACTTTTCGAAGCTCGTGGATGTACGTTATAGTGATACATTGGTGAAAATAATTGGTGTTTGTTGTCTCTTCGTGTATTGAAGATTCTAGATAAAGTCGTTTTGCGAAGACACACTGGACTCGCTTCGCACGCTTGCTGGCGTAATGTTATGACAATAGCAAAATAATAAAGATAATAATTCGGCAAAAACGTACTTCTACATTAATAGCGTCAACGATAACACAATCAAAGCTTCAATTCAATAAAAGAAAAAGAAGTTGAAGATAATTGTCAGGAGAGTGCAGCGGTGAAAAACATTCACTATAAAAAGAGTTATCTTGCTTATCCAATAGTCGTCTGTCCAAAGTCGTTTGCCCATTGCTATTATCAGTATGCGAACGAGTAAAACAGCACCCGATACTGGCGACGCATACCTTCCAGGTTTGTTTGGTTTTATGAATTATTAGGCGGTAATGTACAAGCGTTTACTGCATGTCGAAAGTATGTGAAATTAGTTCCATTTCGTTACAACGTGTGTATTAAATGATACAAGAAGGTCTAATGATTCCAACGATCTGCTTTAAACCGGCTGAACTAGAGAAAGAGAAACCATGTCGATTGTATTGGATAAATAATCTGATGTTATAATTACCTTAAGTTCATTCACTGTGACTGTGTAATCTCGGCGTTATTTTATCGGGGGTTTTTCCCTTTCAAAACAACCATTTGCCTAAATCATCAAATGCCGACTATGTCCTTTAGAGCTCCGTTTTGAGAAACATTTATACTTTCATCTTAGCGAAAGTAAACTTAGATTATTTTGAGAAACTAATTTGGATAAACATTTGCAAAGATCTAATTTTCAATCGCTATTTAAAGAATGCTCTGCATCTGCTCTTGATGCTCCGCTTAGGCAGAAGAAATTTTCAAGAAACGAGCAAAAAGAATAGCTTCGGTTCACAGCATTCTATGGTATTCCTCGAAAGCCTTGTATTCGTTCATTTATCTCTTTGTCGTTTTCTTTCTATTCTGGGTAAACAAACAGCATGACACGTTGATTACAGCCAATAGTAAACGACCATACGATTGCTTGTGATTAATGCAAATTGCGCCATTTGTCGCTGGCAGCGCTTTAAAAAAAAGTAACTTGTCATTGTAACTTGTTAAGATTCACAATTTGATTCTCCCGCGAAGTCGTCGTCTTATCTTTACACTTAGCTCATCTTGCGCTAGGTGTTATTTCCAAATTGACGCCTTTCCGTTGACTTACTTCAATAAGGATCAGTCTTTGGTGGATGGCTCGTAAATATAATCGCCTTTAAAAAAACATCTAATTGCACGAAAGACGTCAGTCAAAGCCGCCATGACAGCATCATTATCTGAACAAAGAAACGTTGTTTTTGATGTTGTATCGTGCATCACAAGTATTCTTTCTCTCCGGATCTTTCTCCCCCCTCCCCTCTTTTGTGGAGTGGTTGCGGCAAAAGACATTGTTTGTCTTCTGCCTGTACGTAATATACATGTTTATATTTTTTAAATGTCGTTCAGTATTTTTGATGATATTTATGACAATTAATGGAAAATATTAAAATTGGCGAGAGCCTATACTTCTCATTTTTATATTTACGAAAAAAACAACTTAAACCATGTTGTTTTTGTCAATGTAAATAGATAGTACAAGACTCGGTCTAAAGGCCCGTTTCCGCTTAAGTATATTTTCCACGGAAATTAGAATTTTCCAGGTGCACATGCGTTAAGTAATGGAAGAGTGCGATGAAATTTTTCCAGTGGAAAATGTTTATTCAAGTAGAAATTTTTCAACTTTTTGTATTTAGTCCGGTGGAAAATTAGCAGTCAGCCAATCAGAAAAGAAATCTACTTTCGTTTCATGCAGGTTAAATAATACACCATATAATAAACCTTCTATTATTCTTGCTTACTCTTTCTTTACCGAGAAATATTGGACTTTTTTTACAATCCTCGCCCTACCGGATAGACCTGTACTGTACAAAAACACGCTCAGATATTTCTCTGTAAAGAGCTCGCGCTTTGATATTTAATCAGGCCTCAGGGCTAAGTAATTCTGAGTTTTCAACTAATAAACATTTCCTCGAAAGTTTGTTGGCGGGGACAGATTTTTCTTGCTGAATTCGTTCAATTTATGAATTACTTGCGTTGAACAGCAATGGTCAATATTTTTCCTGTTTTATCTATTCCAGAAACGTCGGCCTTTGGAACTTATCCGTTCGGTTTTAACACAATGATTGGATCCAACAACTGGTTTGAGTAAGTACATTGAACGAGAAATCTAATTTTCGTCCTTGTTGTTTTTTATTCTTGGTCCACATTAATTGAATATTTCTGCGATTTTAGACTGCTTAAATCAAAAAATGTGTTCTCAGTGCGGAGGAAGTCGGTGAAAGGCAGTCAAAAACGAGAATACAAACGATCCATTACGATTGGTGGAGACAAACCACCGTATAATGTGACTGGAGTCAAGGTTGGCATTTATTGATTAATTAAGTAATTGGTATAGCTCAAAGGAGCACTGCATGTTACATAAATAAGTAAGTATATATTGCATCGTTATAAAAGTATATTTGCTCAGTATATTCCACAATTTGAAAACAAATCGAATTTGAAAAACAACATGGCGGCGTACGAAAGTTGAAAGACTTTGGACAAAGTAAATTTCGTAAACTTTAGCAAATACAATCAATTTTGGCTAGTAATATAGACGAAGACGCTCAGTTTGTACTTCATGATCGGCTGTTTGATTTACCTCTTATGTAAAGACCTTTTTATCAACGACAAAACTATCGTATAATGAGCCGTTGATGACAGTCATCACTCAACAGCGGTATTGTAAATCTTGTGGGAAGCTGCACTGCGCCTTTAATTTAAAATTATCGCCTCTAACTATTAATGTATTTTGTACATCCCCGGGCGCTACTTCTCGGCTTTGTGTACATAATGTTTAGCGACCATACTGCAGCATACATTTCATGAGTCACGTCAACTGCAGGACTTTCGCCTTCAATATTTTTAAGTTTGTAAAGTATTTAAACTAAAGCCATCGATGCACACATTTCCAACGTACATTTAAAGTATTTTATTGTCTATCAGTTTTAGTTTTTCAAGTATTTCCACCAGGCAGCTCTGCATTTTCAAGTATAAATTTAATTATATTATACTACAATATGAAGTCAATGTTTTGAATTAGGAGTGTCCGAAACTAAAATAGATAATAACTTAAAGCGTAGATCGTTTTGCTTTGGCTTTATTACCTAAAGTATCCCTTAGAGTTCCGGAACAAGAGTCAGGAACAATCAATTAAAGCCGTCAACTTTCAATTCAACACACCTTTGTGAGAATGGCATTGCTTAACAACTTCCATTAAACAAACCCATATAATCTGAAAACCTATCAATGGGCCGTTGTAAATTATTTTTTCGAACGTTGGATCCCTCCCCAGTCCCTACTACACAACTTAAAAAATAAGCATAATCTTACATTCAGTGCAGATAATCAGATTTATTTGTCATGACATCCTGACTTAGCAAGCGAAAAATTTCTTAAAGAGCTTTTGAGCAAGTTTTAAAGTAATGAGCCGATTGCTCTCTAAAGTTGGAAACCAACCAAATTAGAGCGAGCTAAAAACAGAGTATGATCTGGCATACAAAGGCAAATCATTCAGCAAGGTAGCAGCGATTTGCTGAAATACTCTCGCAATTAGAAGAATTTCTAAAAATAGCTCGAGTTGAATCCTATACATTCGCCACGCCAAAGATTATTTCTCACAAAATTTTAAATTATCGATCCAAATAGTAGGTTGATCCTAAATTAGCTTGACTTGAATAATATACTTCTTATGCGTAATATGTCCTAAATTGTGGAGTCAAAATGATCTTTGTGATATGCGAACTTTTAAAATACTAATCTAAGTCGTGGACGTAGGATGAGCAATACTGGGGGGAGGTTTGATTTATAGAAGAATGTTATATTATAATCTGAAGAGAATAAGTAGAAGGAAGTTAGTGCAGCAGATCATGTACACATGAATTTTGTCTCGTCCCTGAAGTTATGGTTTACAACGTCCCTAAACTAAGTGCTTTATAAATATTGGAAGCCCACCAAGTCTAACATCTATTTTTGCTGAACAACTGCTGATTTAAAACAAAATAGATAATTGCATTTTGTAACGAGAGACAGTTGATTCGAGGAGGAGTGATCAGGGCGGTGTATTCAGTTGTGCTACGCTGATTTCGTTCGAAAAGTACCAGACTTTGTGCTTCTGTCGTGGTGCTATGTTTAGTATCACAGCATGATGATGCAACTTATATGATTTACATGTTATAACTGATCCAATTGATGGATGAAGTTAACGTTGATTTCAAATCAACATTTATGCGGCAAAATTAATATTTATTATAGGATGATGAAAAAGAAGAAAACAATAACAAAATAAAGAGGGAGTTATCAAAGCCAACGGCGAACAATACAAAACTTGCCATTCCTACTATCAATATCATTCGGTAAGTTACAATTTATATTGGGTTCAACTTTTTTAGTCGAAAGCATTTCCGCAGGGAAATTAGCATGTTGCAATTATTAGGATTTCAGTGTTTTGTAACACTTACTTTAATGATTTTCCCACAAAGGTTTATCCCACACATAACAAACGTGGAAAATTTTATAAGTGCATTGAAAATAGAAAATATGTCATTATAAACTATCATTTTCGCTATTCGTTGTTAAGTTTTTGCTTTTCACCTTTTCACGTCTCACAGGTGTGGGGAGAACGTCCAGAATGCAATTTTATTTTCCGCCGATGAACTTATGTTTTTATATTATTAGTGCAAGTGACGAGAGCCTGTTTGAACTGGTTATCGATGACTCTTCTGACGATGACGATGACGATCTTGATGAAAACGAAGATCTCGTTTACGAATGTCCTGGCCTTGCTGCTTCGGTTTGTAATTAATGATTTTTCTTCAAGCATGACTTGCAATCATATCATAAAATATTACTGTTGGTGCGTGCCCCATACACCTTCGCTCTACTTTCCAATTATTGTAATTTGCTACATGTGCATGAAATGATCAGATCAAGCAACCAGAAAGATTTTCCATATTTCTTGATTTTTATTCAAATTTATGTGTCTTACGTAGCTTAACTGAGTGTATATCCCGAGGGGGATGAAAGTGACATCAGAAGTTTTACAGACAAACACGTGACCGTTGTCTTAGAGTAGTTAATATTTTACAATCAAGTAAGGTGATTGATGTAGATTTTATCTTCTTTTTTTGAAAATCAACCAGCATGGAAAGTTATCAAATCAACGTTTGTCTTTCATGAGTTGATACTTATTGAAGACACAGCATCTAGAGTCAAACGACTTGCTATTTGTTAATGCTTTGTTGACAGCGAATTTTTATAAAAGCTGGGTCGAGAAATAATTTGTTTTTGAAGTACTTCATCCAATAATTTTTCATAACTTTCTTCTAGACGGGAGACATGTCAGTTGAAAATCCCCTCTTTCACGAAAAACAGTTTGCGAACAGCTACAGAACACCAGAAGTTCCCGAAAAGTACTGGAAAGATGTATTCGTCGAATCTGTGTAAAATTCTTCGTCCCAGAACGTCAGACGACACATCAAACCGAACATGAACACAACTTGCTTGTCCTGTTTGTTGATTTTGCAACATTTTTAATAAGACACGTAAAGTTTAACTGTATATAGAGCAAAACCAGTAATCTATTGTTGAATAGTTATTGTATTTGTAAATCATATTGATTTTATTTAGTAATATGATGGAACTGTAATCGCTTCGCATTCAATAATAATTGCGAAATTGTTTCCCTGTAAAATTTTTTGGCTTGAATGCTGGCAGATACCTGTTTTTTTAGTAAAAGGAAAAAATATTTTGGACAATCTTCTGTAGAATCAAATGAATGTTAAACTTTATAGAACGTAAGCAATGGCATGTACCCCCTGGAGGTCTCCGTTTCTGCGCACTCCTCCTTTGCTTCACTAGAGATAGGCTAAATGATCATATTCGTCATAAGACTACGCCTTTAAAGTTTCTAGATTCTTCTTAATATTCATAATTTATTCACAATATACTAAAATCGCAAAGTTTTAACATGAAAGCATTGACAGGCCGCCTATACGTCTGTAGTTTTTATTTTATTTCTGATAAATACTGGGTGTTGGTAATTAAAGAAATTTCTATAATATTTTCTGTTGGGGCTTCTGGAGCCCGCCACTACCCACCACTTGACACCCAGATATCCCAAATTTATGCTACAGACCATCAACAAGACTGATAAATATTCCACATATGCTAGCATGTCAAGGGCGGCGGAACATTGATAATTGAGGGGGGGGGGGCTATTATTGCTTCCATGTCAATTTCTATTTATCAAAATACGCAATGTAGTTCCTACGGTTTTTTTATAGACACTGGCGTAGATAGCATCGATGATTGGCTATGGGGTGGGGGCAATATTCAAATATACATGCACATGTAAAAATACAACTCGAAGAAAACAAAGCGATTTCAAAGGAACTTAATACGACAGAACATTAATTTCTGAATATACCCCCACCCACCACATCATCAAGCAGGCTACGCCACTATTTATAACAAAACAACTTAAGTACATTTGTATATTCAAGCTAAATTGCATTTAGTCAGTAATTGTGCAAAATAGTTCATATGCTGTCAAGCTTGTGATGGCTGTTATCAATGAGGTGTTCTTTAACATTTTGTATCGACTTCGTCATGAGATTGACTTCACGACGATTTTTTAAGAGTCGATAAATAGATAGAAGGCGTAATAGAGAGATTGGTTTTTACATGATTTCCTCAGTGTGAACTATTAAGAATAAAACTAAGACAAAGTATACGGTTTCTGAGCCCAATGGACAACCCACCATGATGAGATCACCACAATGGTATTATGGCGAGGCCATCGATTACATGCGAGGCCTTCATTAGAGAGAGGCGTCTGTTATAAAGGGGCTCGTCTTTATAACGTTAATGATGGGGGTATTCATTCGTCAATTCGGTTGTTGCTCATGACCTCTAGAGAAAGGGTAGCTGTTGATACAAAATCGAGCTGTAAGCTGCAGGGAAGGGGGGGAGGGATTTATTAGATACGAGGTGTTTATTTGATTAGGGAGTGTTCATTGGATAGTTTACGGTGTACGCAGTCAATGAGTTTTACATGACGTAATAGCAGAACGAATTGCCAAAACAATTTAAGAAAGTAAGGTGTAATATTTCGTTAAAATGCATTTGGAGTTTCTTTGAAACGAAAATCCCACCATAATGTTGTTGAAGATACGGAATATTTGTAGGAATTATGATATGTGTAGTTTAAGAAGGTAACTACAATAATTTGCTTACGTTGCCTGAGGTATTTTTCTGTCAAACAATTACCGTGGTAAAACAGGAAAAGAATAATTTGTACTGCATTTAATCTCCCTCTTCGTTTATTTTGCAGTTACAGGACTAGCTGTGGTGCATTAGCAGCCATTGATGACGAAGGACAGAAAACATCTGTGAACTTCATCACTCATCCTAAAGAGAAACACGATCAACAAAAACCAGCCTACATTACTAGATATGGACCCAAAGGATTTGTTGTACACGGCTCTAGGGTGTTGGGCTCTTTGGCAATTTTACCTGGTCTCTTTTTGAACTGGAAGGTTTGTGTCATCGAAAATTCGTGTTAAATGGTCTTGAAACATGATATTAACCACAATGACATAACGCATCTCATGACTGTAAGATTATTGTCAGATTATTGATTATTAACGTTAATGAATCTTAATTGCAAGTGGTTGGTAGGACTTGTAATTGATGAATTTCATCCTACTTAGTTTCTAACCATTTCTACTAAAGATCTCGATCCATCTACTCACTGAATATTTAAGCTTGTGCAAAATTAATGCTGGTTTCACATGTGCTCGTGAATGTAAAATGTGTCTTAAGTAAAGGCTGTCAACAAATAGATTTTGTCTGGTAATCACGGACATGTACCATAATGAGAGATGGGACAAGGGAAGGCTAGTTATTTTTTCGTAATGAAAATAAAAAATTAAGACAGAAGCTGACTTAAGAGATTTTTTAGCATTTAAAGTAAACAATTCTCCTGCTATGGAGTCATCATGAGATCAGTTTGATCATATATAAAAAAATTATCAGCAAACATATTTTAATCTGATCAGACTGCTTCCCCCTGTTTCAAATGATGCAATTAGTTAAAGATGTTAGGGTTATTTAAGTGGATGGGAGCAGATCTTGTAATAAAAACCACCAGGTCTGGTCATCCTCTCATTATGAGGTAATCATGCATGGCTCATCATATAGCCTTGCAACTGGCTTTCTATAAAAAATTGCTTTCTTAAAATGACTGTTTTTGGTAATCTGCAATAAGCTTTATTAATATGGAATATTTTAATTCTTTTGCTGAATTGTTTTGTGTTAAATGATGTTCTAGTATAAAAATTGATAGTAGGTTTACCAATGTGTTTGGTAAGGAGTTTTCAACATGAGAAGCTGACCAGAAGGGCTTATGTAGTAGCTCTTTCACACGCATTTATGTACTTAAGAGATGAATTGGCAAAATTTTGAATGTGATTGTGATTTATATGTGCTTACATACCATAAATGCACAGTTTTCAGTCAAGTGCTCCACCTGTCTGCAGTGCTTGTGCAGCTCATGCTACAATAGGTTAGCAGGTTATTAACTTGAAAGACTTTAATACACAATAGAACATTGTATGGACCTAGGTGACATTATATATATCGGCATTGGTATATTTAAACACCATTAAGTGCCACACTCAGGATTGGGAAAATTTAATAACTGCAGTGCTGAAATTAGCATTTATGGTTGGGTCTGTGTAACTATACACTCCATGTCAATATGTAAAACACATACACTCCATGTCAATATGTAAAACACATGCACTCAATGTCATTATGTAAAACACATACACTCAATGTCATTATGTAAAACACATACACTCAATGTCATTATGTAAAACACATACACTCAATGTTATTATGTAAAACACATACACTCAATGTCATTATGTAAATCACATACACTCAATGTCATTATGTAAAACACATACACTCAATGTCATTATGTAAATCACATACACTCAATGTCATTATGTAAATCACATACACTCAATGTCATTATGTAAATCACATACACTCAATGTCATTATGTAAATCACATACACTCAATGTCATTATGTAAATCACATACACTCAATGTCATTATGTAAATCACATACACTCAATGTCATTATGTAAATCACATACACTCAATGTCATTATGTAAAGCACATACACTCAATGTCATTATGTAAATCACATGCACTCAATGTCATTATGTAAATCACATACACTCAATGTCATTATGTAAATCACATGCACTCAATGTCATTATGTAAATCACATACACTCAATGTCATTATGTAAATCACATATACTCAATGTCATGTGAATCACATACACTCAACATCATTATGTTAAACACGTACACTCAATGTTATTATGTAAAACACATACACTCAACATCATTATGTAAAACACATACACTCAATATCAATATGTAAAACACATACACTCCATGTCATTATGTAAAACACATATACTCAACATCATTATGTAAAACACATACACTCAATGTCATTATGTAAAACACATACACTCAACATCATTATGTAAAACACATACACTCAATGTCAATATGTAAAACACATACACTCCATGTCATTATGTAAAACACATACACTCAACATCATTATGTAAAACACATACACTCAATATCAATATGTAAAACACATACACTCAATGTTATTATGTAAACCACATACACTCAACATCATTATGTAAAACACATACACTCAATGTCATCATGTAAAGCACATACACTCAATGTCGTTATGTAAAACACATACACTCAATGTTATTATGTAAAACACATACACTCAATGTCAACATGTAAAACACATACACTCAATGTCATTATGTGAAACACATACACTCAATGTAATTATGTAAAACACAGACACTCAATGTCATTATGTGAAACACATACACTCAATGTAACCATGTAAGACACATACACTCAGCGTCATTTTGCAGTCAGATAATTTGTAATATGCTTTAGGTCAAAAATGCCACTGAAATCTGTCTTTCTAACCTGGAATTATTCACCGTCATCAAGCCGCCTATTGGTAAGTTTGACATGCATGTTGGTACAAATACGAGGAATACTGCGAAATATCTACCCTCAGAGATAGATCCATTTTGTACATGGGGTGCTCTTGTTTCGATTAGATATCGGTTGTTACTTGTTGTCACAGCATGTACAAATTTTTTGCTAAATTTTCTGACCTTTTTATTTTGATCGAGAGATTTTTGGATTTGTGCTTCATTCATGAGTAAGAACAATTGCTATTGCTTTGTTGCTTGTTGTTTTAGTATTTTATAAGGAATTTTTCCCTTCTCCCTCACTCCCACTATCCAAGGCCTAGAGGGGATCCTTCTTCTCCTGCACCCCTCCATCCAAGTCTTGGAGAAGTGCGAACCCCGTTCAACACCTTCCCTCAAATTAGTCCTTGTCTACCCCCCAAAAACATCTCTGCATCATCTTCTCATACTTTATTTACTTTTCAACATTAACTAGTTTCTTTTCATTGTTTTATATAGACATCATTGTTGTGGGTACGGGCGATAAAGTCGTAAGGTTGCACGAAGATATACACAAGGAAATGAGAAAGAAACGAATTGCTTTAGAAGTACAAGATACGGTGAGTGAGTTACAGATATTTGTACGTACGTCGAAAGGGCGCCAGCTCAAGACAGGTGTACATACTGTTTGATGCAGGAATTGAATATCCATAAACAGATGTAATAAAAGCTAACGGCGTTGTCGCAATTTTCAAATTAAAGTTGATTAGCGAAATCGTGACTAAAACACCACACGAGTACATACGAGTACATACGAGTGACCTACGAGTGCGTATAAGTACATACGAGTGACATACGAGTACATACAAGTACATACGAGTGACATACGACTATATACTTGTCACAAATGAGAAATAGCACAATTTCTTCAATAATTCATTGATATTTGCATTCACTTTTGCTTGTATTTGTCTGAACTGTGGGGCAACCATTGTTTCAGTTGAATTTGGTGTCTGTTTTGCGCAATGTCTTAATCTATTGAACGGTTTAAATATATCAACAAATGTAGTCTTGCGTTGGAGTTGCCATAAAGTAAACTCTCGTACAAAGAACATATTATACGTATTTTGTCGATGCAATTTGCCAGTATTTGAGCGCTTTTTGACACACTTTCACCTAGGGAATACATATTTATGAAAGCGATTATATATGCAGCGTATAAGTAATGCCTTGAAAACGTGCTATATGAAATAAATGTACCTTATATATATTTGAATTGAATGACAGTTGCACTGTGTAACGTATATGTGTCATATTATGCATACGATTTCTTGTTACTTTTATTGTTTTTAAAGTTCTAGCTGATGTAATTCAGTCTTTGAACTGCAAAATCAGTATCTTGAAGACTTCAATAAATTATTTATAAATTTTAAAAAAGAGGCTGGATATGAGCTAATGTGCAATCTGATTGATTCCTTACTAAACTACCTCATATTTCTTTGGTAGAATAAATAAAATGAATGCAACATTTGAGGAGTAAATCCACATCAATTAATTATATTACAAGTACATCTAATTGTTATTTTTGTCCAAGATTTTTAACTTATTAATATATTAATATAAGATAACAAATAGTGTACACATGCGCTAATAGTTCTCAGAATAACTGCTTAATATTTTTTGTACGGGAGTTTACTTTATGGCAACTCCAGCGCAAGACTACCGTTGTTGATACATTTAAACCGTTTAATAGATTAAGACATTGCGCACAACAGACACCGAATTTAACTGAAACATACAAATGAATGTGCGAATAAAGTATCTTTTCAGCATTTACTTCTATCAAATGGTTGTCCAGAGTTCAGATAAATACAAGCAAAATTGATTGCAAATATCAATGTATTATTGAAGAAATTGTGCTATTTCTCATTTGTGACCAGTATATAGTCGTATGTCACTAGTATGTACTCGTATGTACTCGTATGTCAGTCGTATGTATTCGTATGTCAGTCGTATGTACTTGTATGTACTCGTGTGGTGTTTTAGTCACAATCGATTAGCGACCGAGAATTAAGGTATGAAGAGTGGTTTTAGGCCTTTGCTCCGATCGTGTTTAAAACACCACACGAGTACATACGAGTACATTCGACTGACATACGAGTACATATGACTGACATACGAGTATATACGAGTGACATACGAGTACCTACAAGTACATACGACTGACATACGAGTACATATGAGGACATACTAGTACATACGAGGGACATACGAGTACATACGAGTATATACCGGTCACATATGAGAAGTAGCACAATTTCTTCAATAATACATTGATATTTGCAATCACTTTTGCTTGTATTTATCTAGACTCTGAGGCAACCAATTTATGGATTTAAATGCTGAAAAAGTATTTTACTTGCAAACTACATTCATTTGTATGTTTCATTTGAATTTGGTGTCTGTTGTGCGTAATGTCTTAATCTATAAAACGATTTGAATGTATCAACAACGGCAATTTTTTACTGGAGATGCTATAAACAAAACTCCTGGACATAAACAATATTATTTTGTCAATGTGATTTGCTAGTATTTTAGCACTTTTTAACAAACTTTCTCCTTGCGGAAATACATAATTATGAAATCGACTAAATACTCACATACGACATTGCAAACGTGCTGTATAAAATAAATGTACGTTATACATATTTGAATTGAATGACAGTTGCACTGTGTTACGTATATGTCATACTATGCGTGCAATTCCAGATTACTTTTATTTTTTTAAGTTCTACCTGATGTAATTCAGTCTTTGAACTGCAAAATCAGTATCTTGAAGACGTAAATTATTTATAAAGTATAAAATAAGGGCTGGATGTGAGCTAATGTGCAATCCAATTGATTCCTTACTAGACTATCTCATATTTCTTTCGTATCATAAATGTAATGAATGCAAAATTTGAGGAGTAAATCCACATCAGATAACAAATTCAATCGAAACATACAAATGAATGTAGTATGCAAATAAATTACCTTTTCAGCAGTTAAATCCATGAAATGGTTGCCCAAGAGCCCAGACAAAACCAAGCAAAAGTAAATGAAATTGTGCCACTTCTTATTTGTGACGAGAAGTCTAGAATATACTCGTATGTCAGTCGTATGTACTCGTATGTCAGTCGTCGTATGTACTTGTATGTACTCGTATGTCACTCGTATGTACTCGTATGTACTCGTGTGGTGTTTTAGTCACGATCCTTTGCTCCTGTGTTATCGCATCTCTCCTTTTAATTCATTTTGAAAATGTAGCTTTCCATCAGTGTTTGTCGCTACTAATTCACATCAATCCAGGAAATGTTTTAAAATTCCATCGCATCAGAACTTAGTCTTGATTACGCGGTTTAGTAAATTTTGGAAAACATTGTCAATGGTGTTCCTTACACTACTATAATGAAACAAAAATGTTGATTTGGGATTCGACGAGGATTACGACGCAGCAATGGGGGGAATGGGGCGGGGGGAGAATATCCGACTTGTATGTAACAAGAAAGGGAAAAACGTTATTCAGCAAATCAAAGTGATATCACTGTAATGAAATCATTATGAAATCAGCCATGATTCAGAAATCTTGATACTCAAGGAGACGCCACGTAAACGCCATTGAAATGAATGTCATGCTTGAAATTTGCAATAAACAGTAGCTGCTATTCGTATGTATTATTTTTTTCAATTCTAAATATCGGCTGATTTAAAAGATGTTCTCTCTAGATGTAAGTGTGACCTTCAATATTGCTGGCAAAAGAGAATTAAAATCATAATTTATTTGGTGTGAGCACGTGACAATATAAATAAAGGAAACATTTTAGTCAGACTGCCATCTTGGTTTTGAGTAAATATTTTCTCCATTTAGGCAAATGCTTGTGCCACGTATAATTTTCTTCTTCAAGAAGGCAGGGTAACTGGAGCAGCATTGATTCCTCCAACTATGTTGCCCGACAGGTAACCTTGTGGCAGAATTTGGATTGATAGACGCTGGTGATATGCAAATGGTGGACGAATGGAAGGATGGTAAATAACTGACCGGTCAATTGCTGTATTTCTTTTGTACATGTTTGCACATCCAACCATTCTTGCGTCTTTCAAATGACCCAAAAAGAACTGGCCGTTCTGGAAGTATAAGTCATTGCAAAATAATGTCTCTGATTGGCTGCAGTGCAGTCATTGAACTGTATATAACTGGAAAGCTACTTCCTGCCAAAATTTGAAGCCACTATGTAACTAGTCCCAATATAGAAAATGCAAGTACGTGCATGATTATAAAAAAGGTAGCCTTCCTGTTGTATATTTAGTTCATTTAGTGTAATTTACCGTACGCCAGTATCCATTTTGTTGTGATTGTTAAAACTGTGGGCACGCATTACGACTGCGGGGAAACTCAACGACGACAGTTCGAGAGCAAATTTTGTTCTACTCCATAAAGTCTTAAATAAAAGAATGCAAGCAAGCAAAATCAGCAGGTTATGGTCCGCCAGGCTTTCAAAATGTATCTTGTTAAATTTATTTATTTATTTATGTAACTTTGCTATACAGCAGGAAAATCGCCACACCAAACTCAAAAATTAAAGTAAATGAAAGTTAAATTTATCGCTATTACTTTCATTTTGTGATCCTGCTGCACTGATTGAATTGTGCTATATGCAGTTGCTATGCGTCTTGAACAATTTATCCCATGATCTTACGTGTTGTCATTGTAAAGCTCAACACGTTGAGAGCGTTTGCTCGCCGCTTCATAACTGTGTGGCCTTCAATATTTTACTGACTTAGGGGCTGTTTTCATAAGTCCAACAGGAAGGGCCAGCCCTGCCTGAAGGGCTGTATTTAACTATTGCTTTACAAGCAAATTCTAGCCCTACATCAAGAGCTCGGCTTGAACAACGAGTAGTAGCGCTGAAATACAAATTGGATAAAAACAAACCGAAATAGTTATTGCTTTTTGTTTTTTTACGCTTTCTTTGTGCCTTCTGATGCCTCTCCCGTTGAGGCCTTGGATGCCTCTCCCGTTGTTCCTTCTGATGCCTCTCCCGTTGAGGCCTTGCGTGTACATCGAAAATATCAAGCTCAGCATGGCGAGATTTCGCGGCTTAAAGGCTAGCCCTTCCCGTAATGTTCATGTAAGCAGCCCCTTACTATACTACACAATCTTTATTTCCACAATGAGAACGTGCTCATTTTAGTCCGTTGCCTGTGGCGTCAAACACTTACTTTCGTTGCCACCTTCGCGGTGCTAAATTTTATGAACGGTATTCTATAGTTTTCGACATGCTGAATTCGAATTTCTATGTTCCCACTCACCAAAACCCGCAGTTTTTAGAATTTTGACGATGAAGATCGCTCCCGTTTTGTTGTTTAGGCGATCTTTTTACATGAAGTAAATTGATACCGCTATTATTTTGAGCCGAGTCGTGGGCTCACAGTTCATTTAGAGAGGTAAACAAAGCGAAACACAATTTTCTTGTAAGAAAGATTATACAAGTTGACAGAATATTGAAGCTTGCTACAAGGTCAAATCCATTTACGAATTATTTAATAAAGAGGTGTTATAATACGAAGACAAGGTTCAATGGAGAAAGATGTGAATCGTGATGCTACTTGTTCATTTTCACTGTTCATTTACTTTATTGTCACTTGACAATTCTTCATCTGTAATTTTTGCATCCAGAACCTCTCCATACACATCCGTTTCCAATTCTTCTGTTTTTTAAAGCACGAAAGGCATTAACAGAGTTCAGTGTAAGAAATGGATGCTTTCTTACACGAACATCTATTTTCTAAGCAACCAGCAGTGCATTTACGTACAATTGTAAATATTGAGCACATCGATTGGTGCACAACTGCCATCCATCCAATCGATGGAGATAGACTTATTTTTGTTAATTTGCCATCCATGGTTGGACGCATTTGGCGGGGCACAGTTACGATTTCCATATTGCTGCTTGGTAATTGGCACGTTTGATGTGTTTCTCCAGACAATCTTTATTAGGTGGCAAGTTGTACCTAGCCATGTTAATGCCAATGCCAGGCATTGAGTGGTAAATACCTCCTCCAGACTCTTGTGAAGTTCTTTAGTGCTTACAAGATATTCTCCAAGTTCCTGAAGAGCTTTGACAACATGGGCATCTTCTGACAGAAGCTTACAATTGAACACTTTGCTATGTCCATAAAACAAACTGGTTGTGCCACAGCCTACCAATAAAAACATATGAATATTAATTATTTTTCAAATTATTAAAAAAACCTAGTAATGACACCAGGTTTTCTTAAAGAGTAGTGCTATTTTTTTGAATTGCCTTGACTTTAGTAGATTCACATACCCACCTGAAAATGCATGGAATCCAGTTGTAGCCTTCATGTAAAAATGTCCCCTAAACAACAAAACGGGAGCGATCTTCATCGTCAAAATTCTAAAATACTGCGGGTTTTGGTGAGTGGGAAAAAAGAAATTCGAATTTAGCATGTCGAAAACTATAGAATACCATTCATAAAATTTAGCACCGCGATGGTGGCTACGAAACTTAATTTCTAAGGACATTTTGAGGCCACAGGCAACGGACTATTTTACATCACAGGTTCGTGCTGAGACTCTGATCCGAAATAGCCTTAATTGCAACTCTGGAGATTTGCATCGGTTTGATACATTCCCCGGAGATTCGTATACAGGTTTCAGCAGTCAGCCCATCGATTTCTTCGAGTATAGCCTAAAATGGGTGTAAAGTTTTGTGTTATTGGTACTATAAGTACAAGTACTTTAAAATAATCCTTAAAGAGGGTATCGTAATTGTATTGATTGTTGACACACAATCGCTTGTGTAAAGCAATTTGAAAAACAAACAACCCACGAGTAAGTAATAACTCGAACTCTGGGTTTTCTATCACGAATACAAAATCCTCCACAAAATAAGTACAATCTGCACAATGCATTTTACGCTCGTTTTTCACTTTCCAAACTTCACCCATCTTCTCGAATTACAAATATTTTCATTGCTGAATTGATCATTTGTGTCCAATGCATCACTATGTCGGGGCGCGGGAGGTCGTGTTTCACGTCGCATTCCATCAGATTCAATTACGTGAACTGCGCCGCCATATCAGACAACACTTTAACGGAGTCGACCAGAGTTCCCCTCACCAAACAGGCCGCTTTTGGGTTTTGCGTCCTTCATAATCAAAATGATTTGCCTACAGCTATGCTTAATGGTCGCACTAGTACTTCAATGCATCGATGCGCAAGCTATCAGGAATGGTAACACGAACAGCGAAGGCAGAATGAAATGTTATAACGAACAGTCCGAACCCATTCGATGTGTTCCTGGTTTTGTGAACGCCGCATTTCGACGCGAAGTGAAGTCGAACAACACTTGCGGTACACCTGCTACTAAATATTGCGTTCAGACTCTGTCAACCGGTCAAAGAGAGGAATGCCAATATTGCGATAGTCGCAGTAACGCGACAAGTCATCCTGCGATTCTTATCACTGACGTGAAGGACGACAGAAACTACTCTTGGTGGCAATCTGACACGTTGTATACGTTCTTAAGAAATAATATATACGATCGCACGAATCGTTTTTCTAAGGTTGTGCTGACCCTGGATTTGAACAAAGCTTTTGATATCGTAAGCATAAGACTTCGTTTCCGTTCGTTGCGGCCCGAGTCCATGGCAATATTTAAGAAAACAACGGCCGACGACAATGCTCCGTGGATTCCCTATCAATACTACTCCACCTCTTGCCAAGAAACGTACGGTATTCAACCCGACCAACTTATAATCGGTGATAGTAACCTTCAAACAGCCTTGTGCACTGCGAAATACAGTCAAATTGTGCCTATTTTCGGAGGTGAGGTACTTTTTCGAACACTGAAGAACCGACCGGGCAAGAACAACATCGAAAAGTTACCAGAGTTACAGGAATGGATCCTTGCAACGTCCTTAAAATTCGAACTGGACCGTTTGAACACTTTTGCCGATGACATTTTTGGCGATCCCAACGTTCTCAGGAGCTACTACTACGCCATCATTGACCTTTCTGTATTGGGAAAATGTCACTGCAATGGTCACGCATCGATTTGTAAACCAAGAAATGGTAATAACTATTTCTGCGAGTGCGAACACAACACGACTGGTATTGACTGCGAGAAATGCCTACCGACACACAACAATAAACCTTGGGGAAGAGCGACTAGTGAGAATGCTTTTGCTTGTGAAGGTAAATCTTTTTTTAGTTTTTGATGAGTAAGTTTAGCTGCCGTAAACTGTTCTTTCAATTTTTGATAAAATCGGAAAAAAACAGCGGTATTTTCAACATAACCGAGATATGAATGTGATATTTTTTGAACTATCTCGAGTCATGGATTGTGCAAGATGATATCATGCAGATTTTCCCCTTTGAGCAGCTTGCGAGGTAATTAGAAACGATTTCATGCTGTAAAATTATCAATCAAAGGTTGCAGACAAAGCTGTCGAGAGAATTGTGTGAGACTTGGGTTGAACACAGGTGCCCTTTTACCTTACGGCAATCTTGCCCTTGTTTCTATCAATTGTATGACTCGTTAGTTTTAGAACCTACCTTGAGCTTCAAGATTTGGGTAAAATTGAGGGTATGAATGCTTCGTTTCCTTTTCTTCCTAATGAACGTTTCTGTGTGAAGGTTCCTCTGTCATCTTTGAAGACGGAATTCGATTCTTGCCTAAACAATTTAAATTAATTCATGCCGTTGTTCTGAACAGAATGTCAACGTACTAAAGAAGTTAATTCGTTTGAGATAAACAACCCATGACCGATTTGCTCTGATAGCCGTAGCGAAATGGTTTTAACACCATTAACGTATTTCAATGCTTAATTTGTGTGTCATTGAAATTCATTACTGGTGCAAATTTAGGCATTCGCTCATTGTAACGAGAAGCTGGTATATAGTGTATAAAAGAAAAGTACTCAGCATTTGGCGAAAATTGAAATTCTCATTTAAATTTTCATTTCACTGCTGCATGAAATTAAGGCATCCGCTCTATGATTGTAAACAGAAGCTGATATATATTGCATAAAAAAAAGTACTCAGCTTACGAAGTTTTCTACAGACACACGCCGTTCGATTACCCTGGCGTGAATGGTTTTTGCTTTCTTTTTGCTGTCATTCAAATATGTGAGGAATTTCCTCGCTATACCGGCTATAGCAGTTTGCGACATCTTTAAATCGCCTTCGGTGTTCGTCATGTATAAATATAAACATATATACGTTAGCAGATGGACGACTATTAGTGTGTATAGCGTGCTCAGTGCATGTATTGAAACAACATAAAGAAAAGCCCTACGAAAACAAATGCCATAAACAGAATGAAACAAAACATCGAGGAAATACTGAGCGCTAGTAAAAGTAAAACTGTCAATTTTTGGCTTTGTCGAACGTTGTCATCTGGTAAAATGTTCACAGCTTTCAACTTGCGCTTTGTTTTTCAAGTTTACGCGCTCATCGTCGAGTTTGTTTTGAAAAAGATGTGTTACTTAAAAATGTTTGTCACTTCGAAAGCAACTTTGATCTCATATTTGGAGATCCGAGAGGCGAGACATGGACAATAAAAAATCACCACAAAAACATTTTCTCAAAAAAGAGCGTTCACAAAGTCCAGATTTTTCTTTTTTTGAGGGCTGGGTGGAGGAAGTTTGCTTATGAGCCATTATCTAAGCTGTAGTCATTGAAAATCGCAAACAAAACTAGTGATTCTAGTGATTCTAGAGACCTTTGATCTTTAATCCAACATTAACTATAGACAATGACTTGAAGGGAATGCGCACAGGTTTCGTGGATACAGCGTCTATTTCTATTTCAAACGTAGCGTTTTCGGCGACGGACGTATCATGGTACTATTCTGTTTAACGTACCATTGTTCAGTTATTAATGAATATAGCTGTTTGTTCATTAAACAGTTCTTCTTCAATTTGTGACGAAAGTAGTTTTATCGCGCTAGACATGCGGCTAATCATAACTATCTTGATGACAATAACTTTGAGAAGATATTTGTTGACAAATGATAAAAAACGATTTTACAGATGGGTAGTATACGATGTTTTGTTCCTGTTACATGAAGTTATTGATGCATGAGACTGTTATGATCGCAAAGATGTGAAACAATTCAAACATTTTTTATCAAATTTCTCCGCCAAAAATTCTAGAACAGTCTTTTGAAATCTTTCTTAAACGTCTTATATTGATCAAAGGCGAGTTTGTTGTTAAACAATCTTCAATAGACCGGAGAGTGGAAACAACTCCACTCTAGACCTAGACTTGCCTACCATAAACTAGCCCACCATAGACATGCTTATAATAAACTGGTCTACTATAAACATGCCTACCATAAACTAGTCTACCATAGACATTCCCACCTTAAACTAGTGTACCATGGACATGCCTACTATACACTAGTCTACTATAGACATTCCTACCATAAACTAGTCTACCATAAACATTCCTACCATAAACTAGTGTACCATGGACATGCCTACTATAAACTAGTCTACCATAGACATTCCTACCTTAAACTAGTCTACCATAGACATTCCTACCTTAAACTAGTCTACCACAGACATGCTTATACTAAACTAGTCTACTATAAACATCCCTACCATAAACTACTCTACCATAGACATTCCAACCTTAAACTAGTCTACTATAGACATTCCTACCATAAACTAGTCTACCATAGACATTCCTACCTTAAACTAGTGTACCATGGACATGCCTACTATAAACTAGTCTACTATAGACGCGCCCACCATAAACTAGTCTAGTATAGACATGTCCACTATAAACTAGTCTACCATAAACATTCCCACCTTACTAGTGCACTATAGACATGCCTACCATAAACTAGTCTACTATAGACGCGCCCACCATAAACTGGTCTAGTATAGACACACCCACTATAAACTAGTCTACCTTAAACATTGCCACCTTAAACTAGTGTACTATAGACATGCCTACTATAAACTAGTCTACCATAGACATGACTACCAAAAAATTATTCGAAAGCCCGTAATGCGAATTATATTGATACTACAATTTCCCTTTTACAGCGTGTGAATGTAATGGCCTTGCGGAAACCTGCGAATTCGAGGCAGAACTTTACGAAAGGACCGGCAAGGGTGGTCGATGTATAAACTGTCGTAATAACACGGGGGGGGCTCACTGTGAGAGATGTCGTGTGAATTACCACCGTGAACAAGATCACGAAGACTGCCGAGCATGTAACTGCAATCCTACTGGTTCATTGAGTCTGCAGTGTTACAAGGACGGTCGCTGTTACTGCAAACCTGGTGTAACTGGGGATAAATGTGATCGTTGCGAGCCTAACCACTACGGTTTCTCTTCGGATGGGTGCAGGTTTGTGGAGTTTGTGCATGTGAACAATAATACAGGAATTAATATAGGATTTGTATTTGTTAAAGTACTGCGTTTATTATTTCGCACAATGGTCATTAGTACTGAGATGGTCCTGGATATTTATGTAGCGGGGAGAAGTGAAATGGTGCTTAAGTTTTGTTAGTCTTAATCCACGATTAGGAGATATTTTTAGGAGTGTGCGAAATAAAAGATGTTTACTGTTTTTGTGCAAACCGAAGAGACTTTTGGGAGAACTCGAGACCGAAGATCGAGGGTGTGGACCTGCTTGAGACCTCTCGCAAACATCTACGAAATTTTCATAAGCCAGTGCAAACAAGAAAAACGTCTTTGTTTCTTTTATAAAATATATTATTAATATTAACAATAACGTGAAACAGACAAGTGTAAAGCAAAAATTTTGATTTTTCCTCTTAAATGGGTTCATGATTGATTTGCAAGTTCTCTTTTATTGATTGATTGATTTAATTGATTTAGCTCTGATTGGTTTGCAAAGGCTATTGCAAGCAATGCTATAGACCACTCAGCGCACACGTTTTATTTTTATTATTTTCTAATAGCAACTATTGCAATTGCTTTTGTTTATAAGCGCTTTCGTGTTTCTGTTGGTCTTCTGTTCTTATTCCATCGAACTCTACTAACGTCAACTAGTATCCGCTCTATAAACTATTGCAAGGTTTTTGTTTTGATCCAAATTGACATAAACTTCTCGCTCTTTTACAGTCCGTGTGAATGCTCGGTGAAAGGAACGCGATTGGATAACTTCCAATGTGACGACAACGGTCAGTGTAATTGCAAGAAAAACGTTGTTGGTAAGAACTGTGACAAGTGTCTTGACGGTCACTTTGCCCTGGAGAAGGACAATCCCGATGGATGTCGTCACTGCTTCTGCTATGGTCATTCATCCGACTGTAAGTCAGCTGCTGGCTACTCCAGTGTCAACCTGACATCGACCTTCCGTACTGGTTTTGAGGGATGGCGAGCATTTAACAGCGGAGGTTAGCAACGAAATTTCATACTTGCATTTGGGATGAAAATTGAGTCAATAAAAGGGGAAGGTGTATTGTGGTTTAATTTACTTGATAAATCACCCTTCACGTTCTCATAAGAGAATGTTGAATCATGAATGTTGAATGTTGAACAACCAAGTGACATTTAGTTGGTAGTAAAGGTTTTTAGAAGCTTTTTGAGCATTTCAAACAGCTCTCATCTCAGAATTATCGGAACCTCTAATTTTTCGACTCTCCTGGGTCACTTGGGTTTCAGAATTCTCGGGTTTCCGTTTGTTTTCAGAACTTCTGGGAACTCTATAGTCTTTGGCCATTCACCATGGTAATTTCGCTTTACGATCAAAAACAGTTTAGTCATGTTTCGTTTCATTCTGAAGATATTGAAGTTTTATGGAGTCCGATTTATAGAGAAAGTTGCTTGAAGAAAAGTTGAATGATTAGGAATATTTTCTATTATGCTACATCAACAGGACTGAGTTTCTGCCTGTGTTGAGTGTCAATGATGTAAAATCCTGCATAGGTATTTCATCGGTAAGTTGGCTAGAAACTAAAGTATGTTTATAAATTTCAAGGGACTCATTATGCAATGCAAAATCACTCTAGAAATTAGACAACACAAAACTTCAATAACTTGAAAATGCATAGAGATATGACTATACTGTTTCAGAAAGTCCGCTGTCGTGTAACAAGTTCTCTTCAATGAAGCTACTGTTTTAATAGCCAAATTTTCGTTTTACTGGCCTATAACAGATAATTTTGTAATGAAATTAACCAACAAAGCAATAACGTCATCGATATTGCTTTTCATTTCAAACAGGCGAGGACCTAACGGCAACGCTTGGAACGTGGAATGCTGGTGAACAAAGCGTGGGGGTGACGTCGATCAACCAAGATTCTCTTTTCCTCACCGCACCGCTTCCATATTTAAAAAAGAAACGCAGCAGTTATTCGAGGATCTTGTCCTTCCGCTTTAAAGTTGCCAGTACAGAAAACATGCAGTTCACCAAAGGCGACATCATGTTGATATCAAGGAGTAGAGATGGATTGATGGTTTCAACTTCTCTCACGGGACAAGGTGATTATTGTAGTTTATGACGTCAAAATAGTATGTTGTGCGTGGTAGTATGCTTTCGAACCCAGTCCCATAGATATCTAACTAACGTGTCGAGGTGGTAACAAGGTGGCAATTCCGACTTCTTAATCATTTTCATTACTTTGTGAAGAGTTTGTTTTCTTTGAGTTTTATATTTTCGTTTCAACCCTTTTGAAGCGATGAAAACAAAATAAGAACCTGGTCGAAATCTTAACCTAGACAGGTCTTCATGAAAAGATGGTATAAATCGGAAATTTTGGCGTAACAGGTTCTTAAAGTCTAGTTTCTTACATGTGGGCTTTTACTGTAGTCAGTGTCTACACACTAACTATTTCTCTTCAAATCTCCAGGTAACCCCGTACCGACGCGTGAATTCCAACTATACCAATATCGTCTTCACGAGGACCCGTCGTTTGACTGGGGCCCACAGCTAAATGGCTTCAATTTTCAACGCTTGCTCAACCATTTGGATGAAATCAAAATCAGAATGACGTATTCCGACCAAGGCACGGGCATCATCGACGACATATCTCTGGAGTACGCGACCAAAGATACGAATGCCGTCGACTTCGTGGTTTGGGTAGAGGAGTGCACCTGCCCACCCCCCTACGTTGGATTGTCCTGTGATGCCTGTCGCGAGGGGCATAAGCACGAGATAGTCAATGGTTCTGCGTATGACAGGTAAAAGATATAGTTCCACCAAGAATCGTGAGAAAGTTTACAGCATTCTTTGTCGTCCCCAGTGCCTTAATTGGGGAGGAGGGGGGTGCAAACATTCATATGGGCATTTTTGCCGTATTGATTTGTATCCTCGTTGCGCGGTCGAGCTGTTATAAAAGTTCACCCTATTTTCTGTATTCTTTTTAATTTCAAACGATTGCAATAATGGAAGTCTCTGTTTACTTACAACTGCCGCCTTGTTTTTTTTTGAGTTGTAAAAAAATGTTGCTTGTTTTCGTTTCTGTTCAGTCAATCTGGTTGTAGAATTCGCAGTGCAGAATGGTGCTGCTACTGACGACGAGAAGACATCTTAAATTGGACATTAATATTTTTATTTTTCATCACTCAAGATGCGTTCGATGCGAATGTAACCAGCACGCGGACAGCTGCGATGCCGATACGGGAAAATGTGACTGCTTGCACAACACAGTTGGAAATGATTGCTCGATTTGCAAAGACGGTTTTTACGGCAACCCAACCGCAGGTACTCCGGATGATTGCAAGCCATGCCCGTGTAAATACGGGACAAAGTGCATCGAAATTGGCGGAAAAGTCACGTGTACAGTTTGCGATGAAGGACATCAAGGTAATAACTTGATATTTCGTTGGTTTATTTGTATTTTTGAGTGTCGTTTTCCTCCGAATGAGGAATAAAACAGGCGGAAATGTTTTAGGTTGGTTTGGGTTGCGTAGCCACCGAAGGCTGCGTAAAGTGTTGCAACATTGCCCAGAAAAACTCAGTTCAACTGTACTACTGATTTCTCTTTCTAAATATTTCGTGAAGTTAAGATTTGTTGCATCTGCATGTGTAATTTAGTATTCTAGACTCTTTAGTTTAGACTGCTCTTAGTAGAAAGGCCGTTTTAGGCGTTGTAATGGTTGTTGTGTATTACTTGTTCAGACAAGTCATAAATGTCAAGCCTGCAGCGGATTGGCTGCGGCAGATCCCAGATGTGTGTGAGAGAAAACTGCTTACTTCGCCGCTCAAATTATAACAAAAAGACTTATGTTCAATAAACTTAGCTTCGGGTGCAAGGTGCATCTTGGTTGCCACTCATTCTTTAAGCGCGGAAAAGTGTTGATTTGTTGTGATGTTTTCAGTTTTCAACATTTAACATGTTTCTATCCATTTCTTATTTCAGGTGAACTTTGTGAATCGTGTGTCGACGGATATTTTGCTGCGCCCGGGGATCCTTGCAGAAAATGCAATTGCAACGGTAACATCGATGCGAACGCTGTTCAGAATTGCGACTCCATTTCTGGCGACTGTTTAAAGTGCATATACAACACACGAAACGGTCCGAAGAATCAGTGCGAGCTCTGTAAAGTCGGTTACTATGGTGATGCGTTGACTTATCCAAAACCCGGATGCAAAGGTACCGTGATAAAAGCTTGCGTACGACAGTAGAAGGCATGCAGATTATGTGACAGAATGAAACCATAAAATCATCATTATACCTTTCTTTTGACAATAAGCATCACCTTATTGACTATGACTATAGTGTACACAGTGTTGCTTCGAATCATCATCATTAGACCTTTCTTACAAATGTTATCATCACTTAAATAGTCATCATTAAATTGACTTGAACAATGGTGTACACAGTATAGCTTCAAATCAATACTATTGACTCTCTCTTAACAAAATTAACGCCACTTCAAAACTGCCTACTTTTCGTGATCTGGCAATCACAGACTATCGACGATGAATGTCGCCAATTCCAGCGACTCTTTGCGATGAATGAGAATTAGTCTCTACCATTTGCAAGCGACCGATAGGCATATTTTATTTTGCGTGTTGTTTAGTAGCTGTGTAAAGTAAATACTTTGAACTGTGAGATGATGACGTTTGACATGTCTCGTCTGTATGTTTGATGTAATACTAAGATTTTTGTCATGACTTTTGTGAAAAATGTTCTTCAAAAACTCCAATAGGGTGAGACTGGCAACGAGAAGAAAGATTAGTCACCATCGCTGACGAAAATGATATAAATGATGTTGTTTAACACACAGACAAGACATGTCAAACGATTCGTCTCACAGTCCAAACTATTTACTTTACTTGTTTTATCTTATGTGTTTCGCACACAAAACGTGACGTTTAAGCCAGAAATCAACGCACAAAATAATATGTGCCTAACGGTCGCTTACAAATGGCAATATCCATTCAGTAATATCAAGCACACTTGCCTGGCCGTATTTTTGTAATGTTTCCTAGAGTTGCCCATTATTTGTTCATTGCTATCCTTCTTTCTATCCAGCCTGCGACTGTCACGAAAATGGAACGTACTCATCATCGTTGAATGTCGTCGATGGCACACCCTTACCATGTGATCAGAATGGTCAGTGTACGTGCCGCGAGAACGTCGTTGGTTTGAAATGCGACCAATGTTTGGAGAATTACTGGAACATCAACTCCGGGGATGGTTGTGAGGCGTGCGCATGTCACTCGACGGGTGCTTACAATGATAGTTGCGACATGTTCTCTGGACAATGCGTCTGCAAGCCTGGTGTTGGTGGTCGACGTTGTGATCAATGTTTACCAGATCATTACCAATTCTCGCCCGAGGGCTGCCGAGGTAGGTGCAATTGCGGATCTTGGGTAAGCGGTAGGGCAGAATCATTGCAGCTGATTTTAAATTCGAAGTACTTTTGGAACAACGTTGTTGGTTAGAAATTTCTAAGAAATATTTGAAACTAAACTATTACCTGATTGAGATTTGCTGTTATTGAAAATATATTTGTGGTAAGTTATTCTAACCTACCCTTAATCCGCTATTTTGTGGGTGAACATTTATTAGCTCATTTCAAAAACATCCGCCGCGCGTTTCATTGTGGTGGCACTATATTTAAACATGGCACCGATTTAAGAAATAAAAGATGTTTTCTGTGTTTGTAGAAGCTTACGCAAACCAAGGAAACCTTTTGGGAAATGTCGAGAGCAGACTGGTGCAATGATTGATTTGCAAATTCCCTTTTGTCGATTATTTAATGTAACTTTGATCAGTTTGCGCAGGCTAATGCAAACTCAGTTATAAACCAATCAGCGCATGCGTGATACCATGTTTTTTGGTTCACGACATTAATATCAATAATCTATGTTTAGTTATGTGGAATTCTAATCTGTGCGCATACCGTTAATTTGGAACTCTGTGTGTATAATCGAGTCTATTAAAGTTTCATTTTCATTGCGTATTGTACTTCATTGTACTTAAAAACATCACATACTGGGATATATGAAGCTGCATGGCTAGGTTAAACAATTAATGAGAAACTTGCGTCTATTTTCCTCCACATTTAAAACTGCGTTTCAACGAATATAGGCTTAGTGTTTACATATATGATCAAGGTTTATGATTGGTGTGAAGTACAGTTAAGTACAATACCCTCCAGAATTGATGAATCTAAATAGCGAATAGTTAATGTTCATTTCTAATCTTCTGATTCAGCCAAACAATCTGATTTGCAGCCAAATTCTAGACTGACATGGCTTTGCTGTTCGGCTTTGTGAAAATAAACTACAGCGCACACAGATTTTTCATTCTAACTTGAAGCTTGAAGTCTTCGTGAGACAAATACATAATGTAATTCGTTTATACAAATACATAATGCAATGGCTGTCCATTTTCTACTATTGTCGCATTAAATCGAACAACTCCGCTAACAAAATGCATATTCTCATTTTAGCTTGCAATTGTGATCCAAACGGATCTCTAGGCGTCTCGTGTGACGAGGACGGACGTTGTGTTTGCCGACCAGGTGTCTTAGGAATCAAATGTGATCAATGTGGCGAAAATCGATTCAATCTTTCTGCTGGATGTACACGTAAGCACCGTTGGTCAAAATTGCGATAACCGTATTAACTCTATTTAGTCTCTATCTTGGGGTTGTTTTACGCTACGTTTCAACTGAAGGTCTAGTAGAAGGAAAGCTCTCGATTGAGACTGGGACTAATCAGAGGGTATACGGTACTTGCACTTTTGGCGGGCGTCATATTTCCTGTTTCTTTTTCGTCCATTTTAGGCTGCCCTCCTTGCTATGACGAACTTCAGATCAAGGTAAACAAGCTTCGGGCATTTTTGAAAGCATTGAACGAGTCCAGCGAGAACATAACCCGTGGCTCCGCAGACGCAAATCCGGACAAGGAGTTCTTAAAACGCTTGAACATTGTGAAAGATGAGTTACATTTGTTATTATTGAGAGCAGAAAACATTTCTGAGGCCGACCAAGAGCTAATGCGTCGACTGGATGCCGTCAATCAAACTTTGAATGTTATCGATGAAAAGCTAAAAAACAGCGAAACTAAGACAACGGAAGCTGACGTGAATGCAAAGACTGCCAGCAGTGAAGTGAAATTGGCCGAAGAGTCAATTGAGCGTTCCTGGAAACTTGTCGATGAAATACGTGGCCCGACGAATCGGACATCCGAGATCATCAATGAAATCTACAAAATCAGTTCTAACTGGAACAAGACTATCATAAACATATGGGAGACTGTTAATAAGGTATAAGGTTCTGTGAACTGTGATGTAAACTCACCCTACGTGCTCGGTCCGTACAAAAAACTACCCATCCGATACTTCTCAGTAAAGACCTAGCGCTATGTTGATAAGGGCTTAGTAATGCGCAGAAAACAATTGATTCAATAGACTTAATACATGCATAAATAATCCCCCCCCCCCTCCCTCCCCAATTGTCGAGCTGGTTACGCAATTGTCTCATGTTGGAACACACAATCAAATATATTGTACAAGCTTTCATATGTAAAGATTATGCGCAGCCCAATCGGCAATTATTTTTTCACTGTCGAGTAATCTATTGATGTCTTTAAGTGACCACGTTATGTTTTATAGAAAGGATGCGTTTTTGTCCGTGTGTCGTAGAAAGAAAATCGTCTTAAGCGTTTGAATGACATGCACCACAAAAATCTCAATTTACGGTCTAATGTCTGCTTTTTGTTTGTGGATGTAGATCATCCAGGTTAGTAGAGTCCTTTGAAGGACTGTAGATGTTGATGTTGACTGATTTTCCACAACTTTACCGGTAGTGATCTTCAGATTCGAAAAAAAAAGGTTGTCGAAACGTCAGTCATTACCAACAACAACAATCCTTCTCAGGACTCTACTATCCTGAACGATCTACATCTACAAACATGTAACGATACTCCCGGGTTCACACCATTTACTTTAGTGTCTTCTATTGCTCAGGAACTCGACCGGTTAGCTCTTAAAGTGCTTATGAAGTGCAATTTTCATGCTCTTTTCTATTGGTTTAATTAAAAGTATTTGCCATCAAAGTCATTTTTCTACAAACATAATTGAAAGTGATCATTTTAAACCGCTTTTATAGCCGTCTGAAGTTGGGATTTCACACATCGTGTGCGAACGTTTTTTGGCCTCCACGTTTGCTCATTATGATGTCATAACTAGTACACATTCAGACGTGAAGTTTTTATCGAAAGATATTTCCGTTCGGCTGAGCAAACATACATGGCGGCCATAAAGTTGCACACGTTTTACACAGCGTATCATAGTCAAAAATATCAAATTGGTTGTGAACATTTGAATATTTCTTTAAGCCAATAAAGATGATATGAACATTTTCACTTCATAAGCATTAAAATGCTATCATCTCATTCATCTTTAGATTCAAAACCGTTCCGAGGATCAACAGCGGGAAATAGAGGAATTGAGAAAGAAAGCACTCGAGGCTTTGAACGCTTCGACATTGGCAAACAGAGAAATGGAAGATATTCTGCTCGATCAGAAAAATACTGAAGCAAAATTGATGTTTAGCGACAACACGATCGGTGAACTAAAAGCCCTTGCAGATGACGTCTACGATAACAGTTCTAAAAGTCAAAGTGCCGCATCAAGCACACTTCAAAAGGCTGAGGAACTTTTGGACGAAGCAAGCAAACCGCTCGCTTTTGTCAATGTCAATGAAACTAAAGGTAGAGAATGTTTTTGTTATTTATCATAGTGACATTACGCATGTATTGACAAGTTGTCGTGGATACGTTAGTATAGTGCTGTTATGAAAGGTTAGTGTTTTAGGTTTGATATTTAGAATTTGTGTTGATGGTACATATCACGTTGGGTTTGATGAGTCACGTAAGTAAGTACTGAGGTATCACGTTCTCATTGATATTTCACGTTGGCATAGATATGTCATGTTAGCTTTGATATTTCACGTTAACACTGAGATATTTCACGTTGGCACTGATATTTCACGTTAACTTTGATATTTCACGTTAACATCCATATATCACGTTAAAACTGAGATATTTCACTTTGGCATAGACATGTCACGTTAGCATTGATGTGTCACGTTAATACTGATATTTCACGTTAAAACTGAGATATTTCACTTTGGCATAGACATGTCACGTTAGCATTGATGTGTCACGTTAATACTGATATTTCACGTTAACACTGAGATATTTCACGTTAGCATTGATGTGTCACGTTAATACTGATATTTCACGTTAACACTGAGATATTTCACGTTAGCATTGATATTTCACGTTAACATTTATATGTCATGTTAGCATTAATATTTCACGTTAACATTGATATGTCAGTTTTCGTTGATATGTCACGTTGTCATAGATATGTCACGTCAGCATTGATATGTCATGTTAGTATTGTTATGTCTCTAACAGTTTTTACGTTTTATCTAAAAACATTTCATAATCTACTTCTTGAAATTGTGTTATACGGTGATTTTCTTTGCTTCAGCCGAAGCTGCGACGTCTACAAACGAAGCAAAGGAATTGCAAGATGAAGCAAGAAGCCTTAAAGGAAACACAAACTTACAGAATATTTCTGACGCAGAGTTGATGAAGAGAGTTAAAAAATTGTATCGCATTGAAAATGTCACCAGTGATCTTTTGAATCAAGTAAAGCAAGCGAATAGAACGGCAGACGAGGCTATCGTTAATGGTACAAAAACTTTGGAACTTGCGAAGGAAAATCTTAAACTTCTAGAGGTTTGTTAAAATATGTGATGAACCTCGATGCCAACCATCATGCATTGCGCTCTTAATCGGTTATTTTTCGAAGCACGAAATTTTGAATATGAAAATGAATCGCGTTGGTTTGGTCAGCTTTCGTAGAAGTGTTGCTTTGCTACAGAAAAAACTTTAGCATTAAGCTTGGGAACATTGACGGTTGTGTTGTAAAAGCTCGCTCACACTCGCTTTCATTGTCTCATGCAAACACATTGTCTCATCTATGGCGGGTTTTTGCTCTATTATTTTGAATCTTGAAATCGGCAGAGTGATTCTGAAAGTCAACTCACTGAATGTGTGTGAGCTTTAAATTTATCATTTCCGTATACAGGTGTTGATGTTTTATTACTAAGAGTTTTTTTCGTGTTTTTGAAAAGTACACGCGATTCTTTTGTGAGATTAATACAAATAATGTGCCATCGTAATTCCAATAGTACGGAATTGCTCAAAAACATGCATGCCGTATGAATAAGTCTTCTGCAATTGTTTTTTTGTTCGCTTTTATTACAGAATTTCAACAAAGAAGTAAACGAAAGTATGACTAGAGCGGACAAGGCCAAGGGAAATTTAGTCGAAATACGTCGTCTTATATCTCTCGCCAACAACAACACCGCTAAGGCCAATGATGAGATCGATGATGCCAGAAAACTTGTCGGAGATGCTGAGAATATTGCTAAAAGCGGAAGTGAAACATCGTCCAAAACAAATGACGTAAGTGCTCATGTGGGGGATCACGTGTGTAGGAAGTGCAAAGCTCACTTTCTCTGATCACAGGGGTGAAGGTGACAGTAGGTTTGTCATGTTGACATTAGATTCGTCATGGTAACAATAGGTTCGTCATGGTAACAATAGGTTCGTCATGGTAACAATAGGTTCAACATGGTTACAATAGGTTCGTCATGGTTACAATAGGTTCATAATGGTTATAATAGGTTCGTCATGGTAACAACAGGTTCGTCATGGTAACAATAGGTTCGTCAAGGTAACAATATGTTCGTCATGGTAACAATAGGTTCATAATGGTTACAATAGGTTCGTCATGGTAACAATAGGTTCGTCATGGTAACAACAGGTTCGTCATGGTAACAATAGGTTCGTCAAGGTAACAATAGGTTCGTCATGGTAACAATAGGTTCGTCATGGTTACAATAGGTTCATAATGGTTACAATAGGTTCGTCATGGTAACAACAGGTTCGTCATGGTAACAATAGGTTTGTCATGGCAACAATAGGTTCGTCATGGTAACAATAGGTTCGTCATAGTAACAATAAGTTCGTCATGGTAACAATAGGTTCGTCATGGTAACAATAGGTTCAACATGGTTATAATAGGTTCGTCATGGTTACGATAGGTTCATATTGGTTACAATAGGTTAGTCATGGTAACAACAGGTTCGTCATGGTAACGATAGGTTCGTCATGGTAACGATAGGTTCGTCAAGGTAACAATAGGTTCGTCATGGTAACAATAGGTTCGTCATGGTAACAGCAGGTTCGTCAAGTAACAATAGGTTCGCCATGGTAACAATAGGTTCGTCGAGGTTACAATAGGTTCGTCATGGTAACAACAGGTTTGTTATGGTAACGTTAGGTTCGTCATGGTAACGATAGGTTCGTGAAGGTAGTTCGTCATTGGCCTGCGCTAAACAGATCTGAGCTCAACCAATTAAATCAATCAGTCAATCAACGAGAATTGCAAATCAATAATGAATACATTATGGAGGAAAAATGAAAATGTTTGTTTCGCATTATTGTTATTTTATAAAAGTAATAAAAGATGTTTTTCGTGTTTGCACTGACTTATGCAAACCTCGGAGATGTTTGTGAAAACTCTCGAGCAGGTATAAATCTTCGAACTTCGGTTTTTTGTGAAAAACATCTTTTATTTCTGCAATAAGAAGGAAGTAGATATTGACAAATCGATACCCTTCATATCTCTTCATTCTACACATTTTGGCACAATTTCTCTGAATTCGCAGTTTCGTAGATTGAAGAACGAGGTGGACAGACCACATTCAACACTGCTTCTTTTTCTTTTAAGGACGCCGAAAAATTGAAAAGGGAAGTCGACAGCTTTGTCGTTCCGGACGCAAATATTTACGAAGACGTCAAAAATGCCGAAAAAATGATCGAGAAGTACGAAGAACGGGTAAAAAATCAGTCGCGTCTTGTTAAAAATGCGAAGAAAACGGTAAACGAATCGAAAATGAATGCGCAATCCGTCAAAGATACCATAAAGAAAGTTCGCTCAAGCATCATTGAAGTCGAGTCGAAAATTGCTGACTTGGGAGACTTGGACTGGGATAGGTTGTACGAGCTCGAAAAGGCAATTGCGGAGCAAGAGAAAATGGAAAGGGATCTCAAAGAAAAGGTAGCATTTCTCGAGGTTGATAAGACAAGAATAGATCGACAAATCAAGAGCTACTACATCGATCTGAGCGAACTAAACGAAGCTTTGGTAGAACTTACAAAGAACCACGGCAAACTTCATGGCACGTGTTTAAAGGAAGTGCCGGATCCCAACTAAAAGAAATTTGACATAAGAGCAATAAACCTATGCCTTTATATATAGTGAAAATTCAAACCATATCGTTATCATACAGATTTCATGTATTATAATGACTGTTTTTGTAGAGGAATAACGGTCATGGAAATTGCAGAACGGAATTGTCGTGTTTATCTACTCAAATGTCCAAGACTGACTGTATGCGATTTAAAGTTTTATTTTATTTTATTAACGTTAGAAATAAACTTTATTGTTGTATTTTGAGGATTTTTTACCATTAGAAAAGTCGTGAGAACCGCGACGCAAAGTGTAAGGAGTCATTGGCTTTGAAAGTTTTTAAAAGTTGTGACTGTTCCCTGCTCACTATGTGATTGTGGTCACGGATATTAAAGTAGTTATGAAACTGCTTAATTGCTTTTAATTACTTCGAAATCGAGTTTTCTTTTAAATAGATCGTGTCAAAGCAAAAAGCTTGTTCATTCATTTGAAACTTTGGTACATATATCGTTCGACATATCAACGTTCATTGCAAGAAGCTAAATTTGGGGGAGCACACTCCGAAGATTTTGGGTGTCCTTTGATCCAGACACCTTTGGCCTTAGAAGTCCCAGTAACGTGGTTTTTGTAATTGGAGGACATTAACTGAACTAAACCACGTTGTATGGTGATGAAATCTGTTTCGTACGTTTAATGATTGTTGAAAATGTTGAGTCTCAACACTATACAACATTTTAGGCAAAATTTTTTAACCCTAAACTGACTTGAATGATGTAGACCCCGACCGAATCGACTAGAGTTGACCAATATTGAATTGCATGGAGCAGCGCAGAATAGAACACAGCATTGTATAATTCGATTAAGGGCTCTACAATTCTCAGCCAAGTTTCTGATACTTCAAGACGCGCATTACTTTACTACGTACGGTTTAAATAATTACAAATAATTCTAACAAATGCAAAAAACAAGGAATAAATTCATCTCACTACTTACAGAATTTACAGGGTTACTAGGCAGAGAAGTTCATTTGATCTTATTCAGACGACAGTTGGATGCCAAATGTCCATCGTCTCGAGCGAGCTCATCACCTGTGTTCCGTGTAAGAAATAACCTCTAAAATTTAGAGTCTAAATAATTCTTTTTTGAGATCAGTGTCTCCCATGCGAGTGACGTAATCTTATAAGGTATGCTACGCTTTCTCTGCGCAGTAAAGCATTACTGGAATTTCTGACGCAGTTAGTTACAGCCCAGCAAATTTTTATCAATAAGGCAAAACTAAAGTTCAATTTGTCGATAACCATTTTGTATCAAGCGAATTCTACTGGTAAGTTTGTAGTGTATTTAGGATATAAAATACTGTCGAAATTCGAAGATTCAAGTGTATATTATAGCTTCATAACACATCCTTTTTGACTCTGAAGATGACTACCGCTAAGGTTGTCGAAACGCCAGTCAACAACAACAAACACTGTCCTTCTCAGGACTATACCAACCTGGACGATCTACATTTACAAACATGTAACATCCTATGTTTGTGATGAACCTACGAATTTATGGTCTGTTACTTGTTATTTATTTCATTGATTTGCAACGGACTATTCCCTTACTAATAAAGACTTCGAAATGTGAAAATACATCAATAAAATTATAAGTTTATTAATACATTTGAAGATATATGAAGTATAGTTGTCTGATGATCAAGTCATTTTAAGTCACAAGGTTAAATAGTTGGAATGTTATTAAACAAAAAGAATGATAGCATAATGCTATAACCAACAACTACAAACAATAACGACCTTATATAACAACATTTGAGAAATTAACCTTCCACTCCTCTTCCTTGTAAACGAGACAAGCCTACTCAAAAGCAGAGAGCCTTGTACGATACAAGTCCTGGGCCTGTGACTGGTATGGCAGAGTTAAAAAGTGAAAGGTTTGTCATAGATTAATCAAGTGAATATTCCTGCTCATTTTTTATTGGAAGCATGTTGAACAGTTCATATGGACAAAGCTCTTAATTCCATATTTTGGGTCTCTGCTTTTGAGTAGGCTTGTCTCGTTTACAAGGAAGAGGAGTGGAAGGTTAATTTCTCAAATGTTTTTAGATAAGGTCCTTATTGTTTGTAGTTGTTGGTTATAGCATTATGCTATCATTCTTTTTCATTTTAAGTTGGTATCGCTATTTTGTAAGGAGGAAGCATGTTTCGCACTCTTCAATTATCTGTTGTTTCCTTTGTGCAGACCTGCCAACTCTCACAATTTAATTGTGAGACTCCCTATTTTTCTTGCTTTCTCACATTTTCACGAGTTATATCCAAAATCTCATGATTTTTGGCAAAATTTCTGCGAAAAACACAAATGCAAAAACTGCCTAGAGATGGAATGTTGTATTTTGTGTCGTTATATTAATAATCTTTATAGTCAGATTCCTCTCACACGCAAAGCTGAATGTTTATATTACAGAAAAGTTATGTCTATTCATCGTGAAATATCCAAAAAAGCACATTTTACACTTATTGTATATTGTGGATATTGTAAGTTTAAGTAGTTTGACACATCAAATTTGCTGACAATCTCACGACTTTTGGAAGCCACTCAATTTTTCTGCTTCTCTAGGGGTTGGTAGGTCTGCTTGTGACTTTCATCAATCATTTCCTTTTCCTTGCTTGCAGGATATACATACCTGAACCATTGAGTTAAAAATGCCGTATAGTCCAGATAAAGATATTCAAAGTCTCACAAAGGCTTCTTAACTTCAAAGCTAAAATATTTTTAGAAAAGAACACTTATTGACAATGGTCATTCAGTATTGATGTTATTAAATATTTTTTAGTCAGGGAATCTTGTTAATCATGTTGGAAGTTACATGTAATGATAGACTGGGGAAGAAAGTTCGAGTAAAATGCAAGTATCCTTTGACATTAATGCCAAAATAACATTTAATTGAAACCACAAGAATACTTAGACAAGTTAAAGTTTGTTGTCTTCATTTATAGTTTTACTTCCAGAAATGACCTCTCGTATATTCCCTCGGTTATTCCAAAGAGTTTGTTAGGGTCAATTTTTTGCTGTCCTGCAAGATTGATTAATTTGATTTGTTAAGCTCTGATCAGTTTCCACAAGCTAATGCAACACAGCTACAGACGAAATCACCACATTTGTTTTGTGTTGATTTTATAAATTATTTAATGAACACAGAAAGCTGTTGAACTTGTATAGTATGTCTTCCTTAATTTGAGAATTAGTTCTGATGATACAATTGGTGATCTCAAGAAACTCGTTGCTGCTCAGACTGGAACAAAGTGGGACAGAATAGTGCTAAAGAAATGGTTGGTTCAATCCTCTGTGTCAATGATTAATTTTGATATATTAAGTTACCACATATAAGTTACCAATATGTTTAATGTCTTACACTCTTCTTGTTGAAGAAGTTGTGTGATTTAACATTGTGCATGAGTATAAGTTGCTTAACCTAGAATTTTGTTTTGGTGGTGGTCATTCAATTGCACTTTGCTTTTCAAAAGAAGTTCAGAACACTCATTTGAACATTCATACCTTCATGGTATGAACATTAAGATGTTCCTTTTTGGTGGTTTGCATCTTCAAACTTATAGAAAATGATCTGATGGGTCAATGTAACAACGAATAAAAATATTGACCAATCAGATTGCATTCCGAAAGTTTTGAACATATGATTGACAAAACCTAACATGAAGTTTGTGAAAGTATTCGACTGTTCAAATAAATATTCTGAATTTTCAAAGGCTAATTTAAATCAATAGATTTAGTTAGCTTTTGGTTCTTGATTTTGTCAACAGCTTTAGTAAAATTTGACATCTTTTTCGGATATTTTCTATGCATCTTTTACATGTTTCTCTTTCAATACACTGTTCATTTTTTTGCTATATTTTGTTATTTTTGTAACTTTGATACAGGTATACAATCTTCAAAGATCATATATCACTGGGTGATTGTATCCTTTATTTCAATTGTAGCAATAACATATAAATTTCTGAAGAAATAAATAATACTAATTATGGAAATTTATGTTTGTAGATGTAGATGTAGATAGTCCAGGTTAGCAGAGTCCTGAGAAAGACTTTGTTGTTTATGTTGACTGACATTTCACACTTAAAAGGTTGTCATCTTCAGTAGTCATCTTCAGTAGTCATCTTCAATTGTCATCTTCAGTAGTGATCTTTAGTAGTCATCCTCAGTAGTCATCTTCTGTAGTCATCTTCAATAGTCAGAAGTTCTCGCCTTTAGGTGTGAGCTCAAATCTTGTCCAAGTCACATGTTTTTCATGTGCATGTAAAATAAGCCGTGTTAGGATTTATATTATGTGTAGTCATCTTCAGTAGTCATCTTCAATAGTCAACTTCAGTAGTCATCTTCAACAGTCATCTTTTGTAGTCAACTTCAATAGTCATCTTCAGGAGACTTTACTTGACTCTAAAGACAACTGCAGCTAAGATTGTCAAATTGTCTGTCAGCATGAACATCTGCAGTCCTTTATAGGACTACACTAAACTGGATGATGTACATCTACAAACATCTGTCGATACTTCATGAATTGAAATCCCCAGAGTTCCCATGTTTATTTAAACCCGAGTTCCTAAATTGTTGAAGTATTGTACCTTAACGTCAAGTTTAGATGAAATTCACGATGGAATGAATCTTGAATTATATTATCAATAGAGTATCGTTATTGTGTTGTTACTGTCGAAAAATTTACATATTCCCATATAGATGTGATTATTGTAGACTTTTATCACCTCTTGTTACTCTGTGAACTAAACTTGACAGCTGTTATAATTATAAATGCACTGTGTATAGTCACCATCAATGTACATAGTTTATGTAAGTTAAATTGTATTAGTTTAGTCTCAATATGTTTGCTATCATTATTTCAGTCGTTATAGCGTTTGTCTTCTATTGAAGTCATAGTTGGAATAACTTGTCGGAAATAACCTCGACTAATTAAACAACAAAAATATGTAAACCTTGTTTCCAAAAAATGTCTAGTGTCGCAGTAATACCATCTCACATCGGAAATGTTGCGAAACGACGCAACTGGGACTTAAATGAAAATTGCTTATTCTATTGACCATGGTGATTGGCTAGTCGTGTTGGCTCTTTAAATTTGTTATCCAGTTTGTCAACTCGTACTGTTCACGAAGTGAGAGCAAGCAAACTTCGAAGTGCATGTTGAATTGTGTACGCTAGCAGAATTAGTCAAACGACTTCCGCGGCTAAAATGAAGCTTCTTATGATCCATCGAGTATTCTTCACTATTTGTGTCGAATAAAGCGAATTGGTGTCAAAAAGGTCAGTGTCCAACTAATTATGAAAAAACGTTACCTCTAGTTACAGAACACTGATATCACATTTTTGTACTATGATATCACGTGCTGTACCCTTAGATACGAATATATCTTTGATCATGTTCTCTAGTTAGAGTTTCGTTTTCGTTCGTATAGATTTCGATATTTGAACAATGACGTCTTTAAGCTTTCTATAGGGAAGTGCCAAGTAAGTGGTGATTGAATTTCTCCTTGATTTATGCACAGAATAGATATATACAGAAGCGCCACTCGATGTCGGAACCTTTGATGTTCGTGTCCGCAGCATCCGGGGAACTTTACACGGCAGCCATGTTTCCAGCCAGATAAATGCAGTGAACTCCATATATATGTATCTGGAATGATAACTACAATACATTTTATAGATATAAAATTGAAGCCAAAGTCCTAGTCTCTTGCGCGGTTTGTACGTCAGTTCCAGTCCTTCAAAGTCGAATATTCACGCGGTTTGTACGTCAGTTTCATTCCCCTGAGTGCTAAACATACACGGCCAATATAAATTTGAATACAAACTGCAAAAGCATAACATATAAACAACATCACGACAAACAACACACTAGGCCAACTCTTCGCAAAAGGTTATTTTTTACAGCTAAAACTTTACTACAGTGAGTTCGTTGTAACTTACAACTTGTAACGAGGAAAAGCCAACTGAAAATTACACTTTATGCTAAAAAGGCAATACAATAAGAAAATATGACGAGGAAATATTCAAGCATAAATTTTTCTTTCGTCGGAAGGTAAATTTTCAAACGGTGTCAGACAGTGTTTGTCTTTTTTTGTCGTTTCAATGGATTTAAAGATCTGTTTTTCCGAAGAAAAAAGAAACTTGAATATCCAGGTTCATAAAATATGTTGAGTCTATAACTCGCATTTTACTTTTTACAGAGCGATTGTATCTTTCATCGATTTTGATAGTGCTTGAAATACTAAATGGCTGTCATCTCGATATCAGTAATTGAATATCCTTAAAGACTTTGATATGTTTTAAAGGAAAACCGCAGCGTAAAAGCAGATCGACTAAGTTCACCTCACCCTGCTTCTCGATTTATCACTTTGATTCACTTTCCGTGAACCTTTTCATTCCCAAAAATTTCGTTATTTTTACGCTCTGATCAAGATCCGAACTCTACCATTACCAAGGGACAAATGATTTAAAAAAATTAAAATGAACACGCGAGAGACTAGAGCCTGACGTGTGATGACGAATGATGACGACAAAAATTTTTTTGGCTTCAATTTTTGGCTTCGGTTATCATTCCAGTTATTCAAATGTCGAGTTCACTGGATAAATGCAGCCAGATCGCAATATAATATATAGTTCTATGGATGGGTTTTGGCAAATAAACCCAAATATTTCTATAGATTGGTCATTTTTTTAATATTTTTTTGTGTGGATACAGTTAACACATCAAGCTCTCAACAATTTATCATTAATTCGACGTCCGTTTTGATAAATGAGGGTTTATTCGGAATATTTACAAAGTAGATATGTATCTGACGAGATGCGTACTCGGTATATGGTTTGTCGTCAGTTTTAATTTTATCATATAAGAATTCTGCAGAGAATCTTGAAGACATTTGTTCTAACATTTGAAATCTCGGTCGTGGCTGAAACAAGTGACAAATCAAATTATCCTCCAGTTAGTTTATATATTTCAAACAACGTTTGGCAGGACATTCGAATCACCAAAATTGTCTACCCAGGTGTTTTAAACTATCAGAAACGATGCTGCATGGCCACTATGAAAGTCATCTGATGCCAAAATATTTTGTATTCATCACAGTTGTGACTTGTGAAGCTTGAATGACTTTTTGAGCAAGTTGGAACATAAGCAGCAGCATGTTGGCCTCCACCAATAAAGTGCTTGAATAGCAATTTGTAAAACATATACTGCCATATGGTCCACATGACTTAACTTTGTTATTTCTGCCTTTTTAAACTCAATCAGGAGATTATTTATATATTTGACATGGATGCTTATTGATGATGTGAGAAGTGAACATAAAAAAGCTTCCTGAATGCTTTTGTGAATTGGATTCGTGTTGGCTTGGCACAGTTTCCCCCTGTCAAATGTTTTAAAAAAGTTTTCTGGTGTATCTGTGTTTCACCTTTTGGTAAACATTTTACTGTGTAAAGTATTACGATTGCATTAAGAGTAACTATAACTGGTTTTTGTCAGAATAAGTTCTGTTTGTGACATGATTACTTACAATAAAAATTTTAATTTACTGAATGAAGTTTATGGATTTTAGCAAAAATTAAATTTTCGAGCCCTTTGTTGCAATACTTTCTCTCTGCTGGTTGATCAATGCGGTGAATCAAACATAATTCTAATCATTTTTCACATGCAATTGTTGGTCACAACTCACAAGTGAAGTTTAACCAAAGAGGTAAGCTGTAGGAGCTTGACAATATGTTTGACATAATGGTAAAGTTGTTAATTTAATTGTAACAATTTATCAATAACTTCATTCTTTAAAAAATTGTAATTTCATATATTGTTTATTAAAAATAAGACAACAAAAAACATCTTTATTTGTAAGTTAATACAAATTTGACAGACATGATAGCCACAGGAACTCAATATACAATTACAAATAAAAACAATCAATTACAATTATGCAGACAAGCTACATTGAAAATAAAAAGCCCCGATTCAAGAATCAAATATAAATTAGTTTAGTCCAAATTTTATACCAATAACGTCTTCATCTGAAGAACGTTCTTTACGCACAGTAGGTCGTTTTATCGCTTCTATCAAATCCGTTGACCATTCTAATAGGAAACTCTTTACTAGAAAATACAGAAATGGAATCACACTAAATATATTTATTACTTTTGTTCTAAATTATAAATTCTTAGGGCAACTGCCGTTCAATATAAGAGACGTTCTAAACATGGATCTCACATACAATTCAAGGCAAGAAACTATAAAACCCGTAAAATTATATTTGAAGAACGTATTTTACAACAAAACTGTTTCTCACCTCATATGCTTGGTATCCTATCCGATGGCATTAAAAATTTTGTCCATAAGTGAATTTAAATTCGTCAAATTTTCGAAAAACAACTCTTCATAATATTAATCTATATACATTCTGGCCAGTTTATCTGGCTGGAGTAATGGCGGACGCAAAAGATGCGCACTTAAGACTGGGTACAAGTAGGGGACAGATTTTTCGCTGAGTGGCGCTTCTGTATATATCTATTCTGTGATTTATGTTTGAACATTTTAAGTAATGACTTTTTTGACCTGAAGTCGGTGCTCAAGTTTGATGAATCAAAAATATGTTGAATTAGCAAGGTACTTCTTTCAATTTACAATTTCATTTTACTCTTCGCTTTTTATAACGTTTTTGTGTTTTAACGCCTTGAAGTGCAAATCAATTATTTCTCATAACTTGAACAAAGATTGTCGTCAATCAGATGTTTTGATGCTGCAAAATTTGTCAAGTAACCGCAGACCACTTAAAGAAGATTCTAGACAGACTGGACCATCGGACTGTTGAGCATTGCACCAAAACATCAGAAATCTGGGGGTATTTCACCACTAGGAAGACCTAGTATCTTGACCCTCGTTAAGTTGGGCATTGCACAAAAAATTCGGGATTTTTTTGGGAATAGTCCATCACAACGAACAATTCGCTTCAAGCAAATCTTTTGAATTATAATTTATTCGCCCTCCTAGCAAATGTAATTGTACCACGCATGCAATTTCAATTTTGTCTGATGTAGTCAACAGTATCAACTAATTTCTTAGAGCTGAATAATCTCCTTTAAAAGCATTGGTGAAATGTCTTCTAAAATGACAGTTCGGTTTAATGAGCTCCGATTATCTAGAAAGCGATATTGACAACCACAGAGAAAAGTTATTTTGTTTTTCACATTTAACCTAAACCAACGTACGAGAGGTACCAGTGATCAAATGCAAGAACATATTTGATCTTCGGATAAAATATGGATACCAACGATCAAAATTGAAATTCGCTTTGCAACCAACAGCTCTTCCAGGGAACGAAAATTTCTCTTTTTCTCGAAAGATTCAAGTCAAAATTCGAACCTTTCCCTTATACTTTGTGAGTGTCATCAAAAGGAAAGTAAAAAATTTCCGAAAATAGTTTTGCATGCAACTAGCCTCTGGAAATAAAATTGCAAAAATAGTATTTGAAACGTTTAGGCAGCCATGGTAATGAAATGTTTCTGAAGAATATATGAATTATATACGCGTACCCAGACTCTCGCAGAGTAGAAATTGAAAGTTGCAACTATATAGACATGTTAGATGCCGTATCGAGTCCTTTGAAATTCATTTTTTTACTGATTTTAACAAGCATGCATAAACCCCTCACCCCGAATA